GCTCAACTGATAGTCTATTATATAGTATATGCCACCAGCCTTTGGAGTCTTCTAACCAGTCCTGTGACCATTCTTGGGGCCAATTAGTTATTAAGTTAAACTATAATATTTTGATATAACAAATTGAGAATCTGTAAAGATTTTAATATAGTAATTTCTAAATGCAGTATATATAGCAAATAGAATTATAAATAATTTAGTTTTAAAAATAGAGTGTTACTATTTTCAAATTCATATAAAATAGATTGTAAATTAATATCATATAACTAATATTATATAGTATTATATGATTTATATATAAACAATATATAATTTGACCAATCAGAATTAGCAAATCTTTGTACTATCTAAAAAAAATATATTGTGATTTAGAAAAACTTTGATTATATATATAATTAATTTTTTTAAAACAATATATATTGCACAACTTCATTATTATAAACAATCTATTTTAAGTTATATATCATATAAATTTGATACAAATTAACCAAGATATTAAAAAGTTTAATATATCATATAGATTATATGAAAAATGATCTACATACATCTTACTCTTAAAAAAACATGGCTATAATAAGATTTGTACTTAAAATATATAAAGAATATTGTTGTAGCTAACTAATTCCTATAGGGTACTAGGAGTTTTTAAAGTTAATAACAGATCTAATAGTATAAAATATAAAATTGGTTAAAAAGTAATTGTAGTTAGCAATAATCTTAAGAGTATTAGAAGTAGTATTAGCTATAAATATAGAGGAAATTTATAAAACTTGTATAATAAAATCAGAAAAGAAATAGGCTAGAATAGTATCCTGATGTTGGATTAAGTATATAAGATCAAGTGGGTTTGTATTAAAATTAATTAATTTATTAAAGTAGAGTCTACCAAGAAATTTAATAGAATAGCTAGTTGGAATTAAGATAGTATATTTACTATTAATAAGGTTGGAATTAAAAGAGCAATTAGTATATAGTTTTCTAGTTATATTAGAAGTAAAGTATAAATACAAGTAGGTGGTTATAAGGTTGTATTGCCAGTAAGTAATTAGTATACAGTATATTCAGAGTTTGTAGATTGATAGCAAGCTTTGTCAACAATGATTTGTTATTAAGTATTGTAATAATCCAAGGTTTAGAGTATTTTTAAAAGTGGCCAGTATTACCATTATCTTTTAAATCAATTTGCTAACCATTTTTGATATAAATAGTTAAACTGCATCAAGTATATAAATTACATATTTTCAACAATTATATTAGAAAAAAAAGAAAAGCAAGCACTATTAAATTTATAATTATAATCACTATTGTTTGTAAATTTGATAAACTTCATATTTTTTGTCACTTTGATAAATCATTTTCAACAAAAAAGAATTCAAACAAAGCACACATGCAGATTCTATATATAAATTTGCAAATTTTACCTATAAATTTTGATTAAATGTTCATGTGTGCAACTAAATTTTTATAAAATTTTATAATCTGCAAGTCATTTTTTTTAATTGGTTGCAGTCTGCAACTAATTAAAAAATTGAATTTCAAACACTGGTTCCTGCTTTGCATGAATGCATTAATTGCATATATCTATTTATAAAACAAGGCTTTAAATACATTTTGTTTCATAGTTAATCCAATAAAATATATATATAATAAATCATATTAAATCACCAAGTTATACCACTGGCGAACTGCCTTCTTATCATCATTTTTAAACAATTATACAAAGTTTTGTCTATTTTGTGTAACAAAACTTATAATATGAATAGCCATAGCAATTATAATATGTTGTTAATGCAGATCTTACTTGGTTAGGGTTAGTGATTAGTTATTTACTATTTTAATTTCATGGGTTTTTATCAGGGGTTTACCCTGTCATATTACAAGATAAATGGCCATGGCAACTATAATATAAATGGCCATGACCATAATCAGGGGCAATGATTTTTGTGTTGGCATTTAATAAATAAATATCATCACAGAAATCATCGTGTTATAATTTCAGAATAATGTATTAAATTTCTATACATATATAAAATTTTAACTAATTTTAAACATATACATTTAAAAATTTGTCTTATTAAAAAAAAAAACAAAAAAAAATTGTTACACATATATTATTTAATGTTATAAATATTACTTTTAATATTATATATATCGCAATAATTTTAATTGGCTGTCAAATTTTGTCAGCAATTCGGAGTAGCTGTTTAGGTCCAGTAAATCACATGTTTGAAAAATCAATCCTACGCCCTGGTATTGTTAGCCTCATAGGAGGACATTCATCTGATTGGCTGATGTAAATCAATTGCCCGAGTAACTTATTTATACACTTTAAAGTACTTTTTGGGAACACAACATTTCACTGACAAAAAATCATCGTAAAAGCTATTTTTCGCTTCGATAGAACATCTATATTCACTATGCAAAAATAATTAGTAATAATCAGTATCCCCACGAACTTTACTTAGAAAGCAAAATATGCCTACTATTTATTAGACCATATTAAATTATACTGTAGAGTGAAGATAACCAGAAATGTTTTTGTCTAAACCTATTTTATTACGTTAGATTTAAATAAACTTTATTTTTAACTATTTAATTTAAACAAGTACAAGCTCTTTAACAAGAAGATCCAGGCTTAATATTTAAATTTGGTTAGTTCTTATAGTGTGTTTGAGCTTGTCAACTGTAAATTAATAGTTAAAGTTTTAATAGGTTTAATTTATATCTTATATGGTAGATTCTTTAATAGTTTGGGTTTATTAGTAATAAATATTTTATTTACCCACTTTACACGTATCTATTCTCTACATATTAATAATAAATTCTTTGCGTGTATTTACTAATTTGTAAGCTTCTTTATACGAAGTTTCTTTCATTTTCTAATATCATAGTATTAATTAAAAATTATGCATTTGAATGGTTAATTATCATGGGAAATCACGGGTAGATCTACAAAAATCAACCAATCATATAAATGCCTTCCTATGAGGTTAGAGGTAGGTTAGAGATTTGGAACACTTTAAGAACAAGTACCCCAGTGATAATCACAAATAATCATTCTTGATTTTATTACACGATTAATTTGATTGGCCAAAAATGTAACAAATTATGTGACATAACATTATTGTTTACTTGCATTAACAAATTGGCCTAAACTAACTATCACCCAACCCTAACCTGCTAACACTAAATCTAACATCTTAGGCTGTATAATTAATATGTAATGTGATGATCAATATTTTCAAAATTTCTATGTGATAAAATCAAGACGATAATCTGTGATAATCACTAGGGTACTTGTTCTTAAATCTTCCCTAGAGATTTTTTATAGGAGAATCTCTAAAATTCTGGTCAGAATGCATCAGAATGCATCATGGTTAGGGTTCATAGGCAGACATTCGCATGATTGGTTAATTTTTGTAGATCTACCCGTGATTTTCTGTGATAATTAACCAATCAAAATACATAATTTTATTAATATTACAGTACTAGAAAACGAAGCAAAACTTCAAACAAAGAAGCTTACAAACTAATAAATACGCACAAAAGAATGAATTATTTATATTTAGAGAATAGGTAGATACGCATAAGGTGATATTTATTACTAATAAACCTAAACTTATTAAAGAATTTACGTACAAGATCTATGTACAATATATAAACTACAACTATTAATATATGGTTAACAAGCCAAAATATACTACAAGAACCGACCAAATTTAAATATTAAGCCCAGATCTTCTACTACTAAAAACTTGTACCTATTTAAATTAAATAATTAAAAGTAAAAGTTTATCTAAATAAAATAGCTTTAGATGAAAATGTTTTCAGTTACCTTCACTTTACAATATGGTCCAATAAACGGTAAATATACTTTGTCTTCTAAGCAAAGTCAGTCAAATTACAGATTATTTTGAGATTATTTTTTTTAGTAAATATTGATATTCATTTAAAACAAAAAATAGCTTTTGTGACAATTTTTTATTGGTAAAATATTACAATATCAAAAAGTCTCTAAAGTGTATAAATAAGTTACCCGGGTAATTGATTTACATTAGCTAATCAGACGAAAGTCTGCCTATGAGGAAATACCTATTTATTTTCTGGGAGAAATTATAGCAAGGTTACTAATAATCATATCATGTAAATGGCCCTTCGAACCATCCACATGCTATGATCGTTGGTAACCTCTGCTATAATTTCTACCCCTAGGAAATAAATAATACCAAAAATCCTTTGGCAAATTAAATTATTAGGGATAATGCCGAATTTATACAAAATTTAAGTGGAAACAAAAAAAGTTTAAAAAAAGCATTTATGGTATATATTTATTAATATTTATTGAGCAAAACAATTACTTTAAATTATTTTTAATATTTCTAGCTAGTCTTTATTTTAGAAACTGGTTAGACAAATGAAGCTTACACTTCCGTCAAAAATTAAAAATATGTGTAATGAATTTGTATCAAGTTTTTCTAGCCATGATGATTCTAACAGACCTCCAGAAAAGTTAACTCATGATGAAACATGGAAAGAGTATAAAGAAGAACTTTTATGTATCGTAAATAAAATTTTTAGTACCATTAAAGATGTTTGGAATAATCCAGCTCTTAACTCTGACATGGCAGGAATATTAAATGAGGGAACTTATCAATCTACTGTTATTATACCATTTATTCGAGCTGTATTAAAAAATCTTCTCTTTGGATCATCTTTATTTATTAGCATGTCAGAAAGAGAAAGTATTGCTTGCACGGATAGAAAAGATGGTCAAATGGGAAGACGTCCAGATATCATGTTCATAGTGAATCATTTAGATGTACTCTTTGAAATTATGTATGTTGAATGTTCAAGACTGGTTTGTATACAGAAAAAAAAGGATGATGATAATATTAAGTTATGAAGAGAATGTAATGACAGTATGTATTATACACAAAAAACTCTAAGTCCAAAGAAAGAGCAATTTGGAATTGTTGAGATACAAATAGCAGAAGATACTCTACATCTGAATGTTCTTATCAGGGATAAAATAAATGTTCATAGATATTATAATATTGAATCAGCAAAAATTACTGTGCAAGAATCAGATGAGAACATTATAACTAAATTTGTAGAAACCCTTCTACTCTTACGGAATATACTAATTACAAATTTGTCTTTACTATATCATAGGTCGGTATGTATATCTGAAAGACAAAAAGAAAATAGTTCAAATATAGATTCTGAATAATATTTATCCTATCCTGTATTTTGTTATTTTTTATATCAATAAAGCTGGCCATAGTGCTTGATTTCGTATACATAATCAGTTTACTCTTGCATGTATATTTCATGAATTTATTTTATTGTATTGATATTGATGTCTATTAACTTGCATATGATCAGAAATTTTCTTGATAAACTTGAACGACCTTTATAGAATGTGATCCCAGATCACAACATCACATGATATATGAGGCAGTATGTGTGTAATTATAACTTTTGAGTATTGTTGAAACTCCAATTCTCTCTATTTTATTCCCTGGTGGCTCAATTTTCACATAAACAATTGTGTTTACTTTTTATATTTATATGTATTTCAGGATTTTATTATATTGTACGAGTGATGTAATCATGGGCAAAAGTGGTTGGCATTCTGACGCTCATATAATTTTTATTAATTCGAAATTTTGAATAAATATATATCTTATATAAAAATTATTATCAAACATGTCATCAGAGCTTAAATTATTAAGACAGCGAGTTGCCAAACTTGAGGCAGAAAATACCAAATTAAAACAAATCATAGAAGAAATTGCTAATCTTAGAATCGAAAATAGAAAGCTAAAACAAATAATAAACCAAAATCGAACTACTAATAATGCTTCACAGTCTCCAGTTTCTCTGGCATTATCAGTAACTCCACAGACGCCTATTCCATTATTTATTAATGGTCAATCTGACAAGGATGATAGCACCAACTCTGTAGAACAGGCACAAAGTAATACCCCTGGGAAAATTGTTTCTCCCAAATGAATAGAGAACACATCTGATAATGCTTCTCATCCTGATACATATCAACCTATAATCACAGAGACTGAAACATTGGAAGATAAAGAAGTCAATGAATTCCTGGATTTGAAAGATAAGAAAAGGGTTAGTAATATGATAAGAGAAAGAAACAGAGAAAAAAAGTTTCAGGACCAAGACTTATCTTCAGTAGAATCAGAAAAAACTATGAATAAAATTCATGATCAAAATCTAGACAGATCCTTGTCATTATCTAAACCATCTATTAATTCTGATTCTATAGACCCATTTGAATATAATTATGATCTTTCTTAGCCTGATAAGAACCAGATTGTAGAACAAGATTTAAAACAAGAACTATCTGCCTCTCCAACCTCCAGAAAAAATATAACTAGTAATCAGAACTTACTGGATAGTGAAAATCAACATAATCAAGTTATGGCACAAAGCATAGTTTGTATGTTTCAAAAAGCAATTCAATCTGGCCAGGAAGAAATTTTGCATTGGTATTGCTATATAGAAAGGTATGATAAAAAGATTAATGAGATTACTTCTGATGGCAAAGTTAAGATTAAAACAGCAAAGAGTTTGGTATACAAAAAAGTTAAACAGCTACTTCCTGATATTACAGATACGAATCTGCATCAGAAAACTCTTAGAGCTAGAAAAATCTATAATCTTTTTAATACTATAGGAATAGAAAAAATTGAGCAAGTTATATATAGTACAAATGCTATTTCAAACCTTACTTACACTCAAATTCAAAATATTATAAATCATGTACTTTCAAAAACTATGAATTTTATTCACAATCAGAATAATTCTGAAGTAAGTGTATCAGCTAATAATATCTCACAAGAAACTAAGATCTCATCCACACCTCAGGTAAGTATACAAACTCATGATCGCGCTTATTTTCGTAATAAGATATTGTGGAGTTATTCTGATCTATATAAAGAATTTAGTAGTGAAAAATTTGATTATTATGGAATTCATGAGGGGTCATTATGTCAAGAATGCAAACAAAGATATGAAGAAAGAAAAGGTATAAAAGGTAGATACGAAGCTAGATCCTATTTCATTAAATGTAGTGGGCATAAAATTGAGATAACAGCATAAGTCATAAAGTTATCTAGATATATTCCTTTGTTTCAAATGATAGTAAATTAATTAACTATATTTTTTTACCACCTCTAGTACTTGCCCCACTAATTACTATTTTGGGATATGCACAGTGTCAGCACATAAGTATTCTTGTTATATAAGTAAGACAAAGATACATTTCATACTTAATTTGAATTTGTGATCATATAAAACAATAATATGGATAAAGTCTTGACTCCTGAATATTCAGACTGGCATGCTAATTTAGTTGATTTACCAAGTTCTCAAACAGATAAAATTCATTTGAACTTATATAGAGCATATATAGAAGAGACTGGACTTAATTCTTGGATAAAGTCTGAAACTCCCAAATCCTTACAAATCAAAAAGAATGCCAAAAAAAAGACGTTATTTGTACCACAAATAAATATTCAGCCTACACTATCCAAACTTTGATCATCAATTTCTATTCTACCTAAAGACCTGGAAAAGAAACAAAAACATGTTATTAAAATAGTATTAGAGCAATTTTCTTATTTAACTTTGAAGCATAGTTTTAAATATAGTAATTATTTTGATTTTAATAGATCTGTACTCTGTCCTATATGCAACAATAATCATAAAAAAAAGAATATAAGAAATTTTATAGAGGGTGAGTGGGGAAGTAGTGAATATTGTGGTGAAAAAACTTATCATCTCTATTGTTATAAAAATAAATATCAAAATTCAATCCAAATAGTAACTATAAAAGTATAGGTTAATAAGAAAACTCTTTTATTTCCACTAATTAACAATTGCAAATTGCATTGCTCGCACATATAACTATAACGGTCATATTATCAGTCTTAACCTTCATTTTAAAAACACATCAATATGACTTCTACAAATCTATATTCCAACTCGGGAAAAAAAAAACTTCGTAAAGATATTCAGGAACAAATAATTACTCTTACCCAAAATCCCAATTACAAATTAATAATCATGGGTGA